ATCATTCCCCTGCCCAAAGATCTTCAGTGGCTTCCCACTTCCTATAGGATAAAACAAATATCCCCAGCTTAACATTTAAGGTCCTTCACAAACTGGCCCCAACTCTTGCCTTTTCACCCAACCTTATCTCATACTATTCCCTTCATACATTCTGTTTTTCACCAAAACTAGAAGTTTTTCACACTTGATACTCCATCTTCCAATCCATGCATTAGCATAAGCTATTCCCCAAGAATCCTTGCCTTCCTTCAAGACTCAGCTCAAGGGCCGTTGACTCAGTGAATATTTACCAATTCCTCCAGCAATAGTGTTCCCTCTCTCAATTTACTTTGTATTACAATTATTTTTTGGTTATCCTCTCAATAGACTGTAAGCAAATTCAGGGAAGGACCTATTTTGGTTTTTTTTACCTGGATGAAGACTGCCTGCTGTATGGACCACGGTATGTTGTTCAGTGGACAAGCTATAGTTTGTCCATCGGTATGGGTGTAAGTGGGTGTGTGTATGTATGCGCGTGTAGATATTTATTTGTTGTTGTTGTTGTTTAGTCTTTCAGTCATGTCTGACTCTTCATGATCCCATGGGCCATAGTGTGGCTGACACTTCCATGCTCTACCACCTCTTGAAGTCTGTCCAAGTTCATAGTTGTTGCTTCCATGACACTATCTATCCATCTCATCCTCTGTTGTCCCCATTTCATTTTGCCCTCAATCTTTCCCAGCATCAGGGTCTTTTCCAACAAGTCCCATCTTCTCATTGTGTGGCCAAAGTACTTAAGCTTCAGCTTCAGCATTTGACCTTCCAGTGAATAGCCTGAATTAATTTCTCTTAGTATTGACTGATTTGATCTCCTTGCTGTCCAAAAGACTCTCAAAAGTCTTCTCTGGCACCACAACTCAAAAACATCAATTCTGTGGCGCTCAGTTTTCTTATAATCCAACTCTCACAGCTATATATTGCTATTGGAAAAACCATAACTTTGACTAAATGGACCTTTGTCAGCAAGGTGATGTCTGCTTTTTCGTATGTTGTCCAGATTTGCCATAGTATATACACATTATATATAAACACAAATATATATGCATGCATACATGTATATAATTCATATATACATGCATATATGTGTGTGTGTGTGTGTGTGTGTGTGAATACACATACAAGCATATTGGACAGACACTGCAAATAGACAAGTTGGACTCAGAATTAAACAAGAAGAGGAGAGGAGACTAGATTTTTTTAATAGAACCTGTAATTTCACTGGCACAGGAACTGGTTAGTGAGGGAATTCTTTTTTACCAATGTAGATCAATACCTACTCTGCAACTTAAGATGTGCTAGGTGTTAGGCACACAAAGCCCTAGAGACACTGAGGGTCACTGAGAAGTTTTGATTGATTTTCCCAGGGTTACACAATTAGAAACGGGATTTGGACCTGTGATGTTCTAACTCTAAGGACTACTCTTTGTTTGGAATATCATGTCACTTCTCCAGGCAATTGAGGAATTGAAAAATTCTTTTAATGCCTCAAAGTTTCTCCATGAAACGAAGGCCTATCTTTTCTTAATGCTAATATTCTTCTACTGTCATTATATGGCTGCAAGCCATAGAACATTATAGTCCCTGAAGAACTGAAATTGAGGATTGCCTAAAGGGCAATAAAGATACAAATAGGTTGTGTGAGCAGGCTGCAAAACGTTGCAAATAAGAAATTATGAAGGGGAAGTAGTGCAAAGAACATTGTTTTTTATGGCCTGGTACAATAGTGAGAGAAGGCAAAACCATTAAGATAGCTCATCAGCTTCATTGGTATCCTTGTGATGTCAAGAGAAAATAAAGAAAAGCCATAAATGAACTCCCAAAGAAAAAGTTCCAGGACCAGATGGATTTATAAATGAGTTCTACTGAACATTTAAAGAACAATTAATCCCAATACTATATAAGCTATTCGGAAAAAATAGGAAAAGTTGAAGTTCTTCCACATTCTCCTTGAGATACAAATATGGTCTTGCTACCTAAACCAGGGAGAGTTAAAATAGAGAATGAAAACTATAGACCAATAACCCTAGGTAATATTGACACAAAAGTTTAAAGAAATTATTAGCAAGGAGACTGGAGCGACATATTACAAGGATCGTGCACTGGCTCTTTAACAGAAATTGTAGGGCTGGTTCAATATTAGGAAAATTATAAACATATTTGAACATTTTAATAACAAAACCCACAAAATGATTATATCAGTACATTCAGAAAATGTTTTTGACAAGCCATAATATCAACTGTTGTTAAAAATGCTGGAAAAATAGGAATAGATGTAGCCTTCCTTAAAAAATACAAGCAGTATCTAAAATGAAAAACCAGCATTAGCTATGATAAGAATAAGCAAGAAGCCTTTTCAATAAGATCAGAGGCAAAGCAAGGAGGTCCATTATCACCATCACTATTCAGTATTGTGCTAGGAATACTAGCTATAGCAATGAGACAAGGAAAAAATGAAGAAATAAGCATAGGCAATGAGGACAAAATTATCATTTTGGTTTACTTAAAGAAATGATGGTTTATTTAAAGAATACTAGAGAATTGACTAAAAAACTAAGTGAAACAAAACTTTTGACAAAGTACAAAATACACCCAAATCCAAACTTCAGCAAAACTTCAGGATATAAAAGAAGCCCCCATAAATCATCAGTATTTCTGTGTATTACCAACAAAAACCAGCAGAAAGAGATAAAAGGAAAAATTCACTTTAAAGTAAATGCAGACAGTATAAAATACTTGAGAATCTGCCTGCTAAGACACTCACAAGAACTGTATGAACATAAAATCCCATCCTTATACAAAAAAAGATAGGTCCAAATAATTGGAGAAATATTAATTTGTTCATGGGTTGCTCATGGGTAAGAGTCAGTATAATAAAAATGACAATACTATCTAAATTAATTTACTTATTCAGGCTGCACCAATTGAACTATCAAAGGGTAGCTTTATAGAGCTAGAAAAAATAGTACCAATATTCATGGAACAAAAGGTTAAGAATATAAAGGGAATTAATGAAAAAATTGGGAAGGAAAAGAGCCTAGAAGTTTCAGATCTTAAACTGTACTACAAAGCTGTAATTGTCAAAACAATTTGCTACTAGGTAAGAAGTAGAGAGGTTGATTAGGGGATCAGATTAGTTATACAATATATAGAAGCAAAAATGCACAGTAGTCTAGCATTTGATAAGCCCAAAGATCCCAGCTACTGGGGCAAGAACTTACTATTCAACAAAAACTACTGGGAAAACTTCAAAGTATCTTGGCATAAATTATATTTAGACCAAAATCTCACATGATTTACTAAGATGAACTCCAAATGGTTACATGACTTATACATAAAACATGGCATTATGAAAAAATTAGAAGAGCATACAAGAAATTAACATGTCAGATCTGTGGATAGAGGAAGAGTTCATGACTAAAAGAGAGATAAAGAAGTTCATAGGACTTGATTATATAAAGTTAAAAAGTTTTTGTAAAACAAAATCAATGCATCTAAAATTAGAAGAGAATCAGGAACTTGGGAAAAAAATTTTACAGCAAGTTTCTCTGATAAAAGTTGCATTTCCAAGATATATCAGGAAGTGATTCATATCAGTTTTCAGAAGAACAAATTTAAGCCCCTCATTGCCATATGATAAAATGCTCTAAATTACTAATAATTAGAGAAATGCAAATTAAGAAAATTCTGAGGTGTCATCTCACACTCATTTGATTGGCAAAGTTTGAAAAAAAAAGAAAAATGACAAATTCTGGAAGGATTGTGGGAAAACAGGTACATTAATGCTCTGTTGATGGAGCTGTGAATCAATCCAGTCATTCTGGAAAGCAATTTGGAACTACACCCCAAAAGCTATAAAACTGTTTATACCCTTTGATCCAGTAATACTGTTACCAGCTATATACCCAAGGAAGCAAAGAAAGAGGAAAATGACCCATATGTACAAAAATATTAATAGCAGTCCTTTTATGGTGGTAGAGAATTATAAACTGAGGGGCTGCTCATTAACTGGGGAATAGCTGAATAAGTTATGGTATATTAATGTATAGGAATACTAATTATGCTGTAAGAAATGATGGAGAGGATTTCAGAAAAAACCTAGGAAGAATTGTATGAACTGATGCAAAGCGAAGAAAGCAGAATCAGGAGAATAATTTATACAATAGTAACAACAGTATTGTAAAGATAACAACTTTGAAAGACTTAGAAACTCATATTAACACAATAATCAGCCACAGCTCCAAAGGATTCATGAGGAAACATGCTATCCACCACCAGTTAAAGAACTAGAGTCCAGTTAGAGGCTCAGAGTATAGACTGAAAGACTTTCTTTTCTTTTTCTATTTTTTGGACAGGCAATTCTAGAATTTGTTTTACTTGATACTACATATTTGTAATGGGTTTTGTTTATCTTATCTACTCAATGGGTAGAGGAGGGGGAGATGGAAGGAAGTAAATTCAGATACAACTGAATTTAGAAAACAGAGAAAATAAGGAAGGTTGGTCATGGAGGGTTGCAATTGCATCTTTGAACAGAATGTTCACAATAATGTGATCGAAGATATATTTATGTATCCCTAAAGCACAACACAGGGCCTTGCACATAGAAGGCATTTAATATATGTTTTTTAGTTGAACTAAATTGAATTGAAGAGGTGGCACTTGCCAGCATAGGCTATGGTAAGCACAGGGTAAGGTGAGACTACATCTTTAACTTCTCAAGACTTTCCAAAGTCATTCCCAATTGCTTTCCTTCTCTGGGAATGATGAGGCCTTATACAATAATTTCATAGCTAAGGAGACTATTCCATTTCCTTAAAGGAAGGCCATATTGCGTTTCTTGTAGAAGGGTAAAATGTGCAATCTTAGTGTGTCCTAAACAGCTGAATTGGGGTCGAAAGTAAGATTTTCTCTTTTGCCAGGGGGCCCAGTAGGCAAGAGAGAGAAGGAAGAGGAGTGCTTACCTTGATCACCGTTAAAGCAAGTGGTGACTTGACTGACTTACAGACAGTACCTGCCACTTCACCATAAATCACATCTAGCTCAGGATGAATAAAGAAGACTCCATCTAGCTGTTTCACAAATTCTTCAGTCACCAACACATTCTGATGGAGGAAGGAAAAGAGAGGGGACATAGATCACAGAAAAGCACTGAAAAGACACTCTCTCTTTTTCATTTATAAGTTTGCTTTTTTTGGTGAATCAATCAATGAATGAGCATATATCAAGTGTATGCTACATGTTTAGTTGTGTCTCAGCTGGGCACCAAGAATACAAAGACAAAATGAAACAGGTCCTGCCTTCAAGGGTCTTCTGTTCTAGTTAGGAGAGACCACATACACATGTATAGGTGTGTACAAAATAGATGAAAGATAATTTTGAGGAGAAGGGAACTAGCAGCTGGGGGATCAGGAAAGTCTTCATTTAGAAGGTGGCCCTGAGACCTGAAAGAAACTAAGGTTTCTAAGAAACAGAGATGAGGAAAGAACGCATTCCAAAGAAGCACAGGAGACAGGTCGGGCAAGGGCGTGAAAATGGAAGTTGGAGTATGTGAGAATTAGTGTAAGGTGGAGTATGAGAAATAGGAAGATCAGTTTGGTTGGACCACAGTATGGAGGAAGGATAATAAGTCTAAGTTTGGTCAGGTAGGTTGGGGTCTGATTGAGAAGATCTTTGAATGGCAAACAAGAATGTCTATCTGATCTTGGAGAGGAGCTCCTGGAGTTTATTGAGTAGGGCTGGGACATGGGAAAGCCTGTGCTTTAGGAAAATAATTTTGACAGTTATGTGGAAGAGTGGGGAAAAGTTTGAGTTGGGGATTCCAAATAGGAGGACACCTCAGTTGTTTATGTGAAAGGTGATAAGGTCACAAGGGTGGTGGCTGTGTGATTGGAGAGGAGGAGACAATGGGAAAGATGCTATGTAGAAAGTACAAGATTTGGCAACTGATTAGAGATGTGGAATGAGGGATTTAACTTGAAACACAGAGCTTTAAAAATATCTTTAACATACAGAGATCCAGAACAATGTAAGGGTGAGGACTTTCTCTTCTTCTTCTTCTTCTTCTTCTTCTTCTTCTTCTTCTTCTTCTTCTTCTTTTCTTCTTCTTCTTCTTCTTCTTCTTTGTCTGAGGCCGGATTTGAACCCAGGTCCTCCTGACTTCAAGGCCTGAGCTCTATCCACTGCAACACCTAGCTGTCCCAGGGTTACTTCTTTATCTGTCCTATTCCATTGTCTTTCTTTGTTTCCTCCTTCCTGTACTTGTGCATCTTTTTTTCCCCTTTGTGAAAGGCAGAATGAGTATAGTGATACTCTATTCACTGTACCACCTAACTGCCTCTATATGATCAGTGTGACCTTGGGCTAGTCATATAACCTTTCTAAATCTGTTTTCTAATTTGCAAAATAGTGGGAGTGAGCACTTGGCAACACATAATTAATGAGGAACTTCAATGAAGAACAGGAGTAAAAGATGTAATCAGGGAAATGTGTATGCTACAAAAAAACAAAGTATGGCCACATTGTGAGAGCAAAGGGTGACAGGTAAATGGTATCCTCTGGATGTTGGGAGTAAGTAAAGAAGGCCTCCAACACACTGGTTAGATTCTTTCTAGAAAACTAATGGGAGACCATACTCATGCTAGGCAGATATAGATGGGTTGCCATCTATATTGTTGGAGGGATCACAGACATGTTTAAGTATTTAAGTAAATGGGGATGGAGTAGTATCATGATGTACGGGACAAAGGGCTATCTTCAGAGTCAAGAAGGTCTGGATTCAGGCTCCACCTCTGACATGTGCTGTGTGATTCACGGAAAGTCAAATGACTTCTTAGTGCCCAAGGCAACTCTCTGAAACTGAATACATCTGCATTGGTAGAGGGAGATTCCTCACTAGTAGTTCTCCTTGCTAATGAAATCACGGGTCTGGCCTCTCCTAAACACATGGTGACATTTAAATCCAAGATGACTAGAGGATTGGATCAAGAGTCAAGAAATCTGAGTTCACACTAGCAACTTGTGGGACTTTGAGGAAATCAGTTGACCCCTCTGGGTCCCCTTTACCTTATCTGTAAATATTGATAACTACTTTGCTTACCTTACCAGACTGGCATAGGGTTCATTAAGATGATATACCTGAAATTGTTTTGGAAAAAAAGGGGGGAGCCCTGCAGTGCTCCTCAAATCCCATTATGTAGGCAACTGCCTACTCTGTCAATATGTTAACCTGGGCTGGTAGAGTCACCTACTGAGATGTTGATCTCCTCCAATCTGCTTTTGGTGTTCTTCTTGACAGACAAGACAAGTGACAGTGCCCCTTCCACAGTCATAGGATTTTGGGACATCTGCAGGAGAAATGAAACAGGAGAAGGTTGAAGTTGGGTAAAGATTCATCATTCATTCATCTAGCAAACTTTTATTACAATATAATGCAGTTTAGAATGAGAAAAGTGAATAGGAAATGTCAAACAGAATCATGAGAGACTGAAAAGTGAGAATATCATCTCAAGCTGGGGGAAATCATTGAAGACTTAATGAAGGAGGTGGCTCTTGAAAAGACTGAGATGAAAAGTGTATGAGTATCAGACATAAGACAGGGTGTCTGTGAATGGAAAGACTCAGCAGAGGGCAAGATAAAGATGGGGAACAGCTAGTAGTCCACTTTGGCTGGAGTGTAGAGTGCATGAAGGGGAAAAAATGCTGAAAAAGTGATTTTACATTGATCTGGTCTCCTTAGCTAGGAATGTCTTTTCAGGGCTAAGCTCGCTTGGTTTACCCTATGGTGTCCACTTTTTCATCAGTATGGAACTATTTTTTTTGTATATGGACATTTTGGTTGTTAAAAAAGGCAACAAAAAGAGCATTTGTGAAGGGAATACTCATAAAAATAAGCTTCACAAGAAACACAATTCCTTCATTAAAAATTCTTGAGGAGAAATAGGCTGTTCTGAAGACCTGAGAGAAAACTTCTCTTCAGATGAATGCACTTAGAGGATCTCTTTGAAGGCTGGGCACTGAGTTAAAGATGGCTGCAAGATATTATGGTCCATTGGTTCATTTTTTTTTGTTGTTCAGTCATTTTAGTTGACTCTGACTCTTTATGACCCCATTTGAGGTTTTCTTGGCAAAGATACTGGAGTAGTTTGCAATTTCTTTCTCCAGTTCATTTTATAGATGAGGAAACTGAGGCATATAGGGTTATGTGACTTTCTTAGGGTCACACAGCTAGTAAGTGTGTGAGGTGAGATTTAAATTCATCAAGATGAGTCTTCTTTGACTACAGGCCCAGTACTTTATCCACTGTGCCCTTCCATTGGCTTATTTACATATGAGCTATTTTCAAAGTTTTGAAGGCTATAACTGAGAAATTAGGGATACTGTTCTAGCATGGATTATATTATATAATTAAATAAGCATTTTTGGAGGCATATGTATCAGAAAGATGAATTTCACATCATAAGTTAGAGATGGGTCACTGCTTATGAGGAGGCCCTGATCGGAGGTATTATTAATCATTGGAGAAAAGGTAGGAAATTGCCAGATGAAGATAGAAGCAGGTGAAGAAGTTCATCACAGAAGGACTTTGGAACAGAAGACACTGAAAATGTAGATGGTAACAAGAACTGAAGTGATACACAGTCTTTGCAGTTGTTTTTTCTGGGAGCCATTCTGATTGGAAGAAAGACATTACTTTGCTGAGAGCTGACTGGCTGTAGAAAGAATGAGTTAGCTGAGAGAGCTGACTGAAGCTAAATAGGCTCTATAGCTGCTGGAATATGATTAGAGAGCTGAATCCTGCTGCAGTGTGAAAAGCTGTCTGGATTTATTGTTCTCTTGAATTGCCTACAACCTGAAAGAGGGGAAACTTATCAGGGGTGCCTGTGTTTACCTTTCCTGTCCACTACAGCTAAAGGTGGAGGGAAGAGAAAGGGAAAGAGGCTTTGTTGCTGTTTAGATTGCAGCTGATATATTTTTGCTAAAAGAACTCAACATTTTCTCAACATCCTGATAAGGGTGGCTGTATAATAAAAGTGTTTGATGCTGCTTCAAAAGCCCCAAAGTAGCAGAAAAGTAGCCTTGACCAACAGAAGAATTATGAGGAATAGAAGGAAGCAGATAGCAAAGAAGCAGTTTTGTCCCACAAGTGACACGTGGTACAAAATGTTCTCTAAAGAGATAAAGGACATTAGGGTCTGCCATCCTGAGTCATGAGTTATCTGGGCACATAGATTTCCCTGCTCATGTGCTACTCTGCCAGGTTTCATATGTGCATTTCTGGCATTGTATGCATTAGTAGGACAGTATGACCCAAATTTATGACTCTATTTTTATATTTTGACTATTCCTACTTTTGCCTTTTATCAACTAAAGGTAACAATTATTCTTGTTTTCTGCCTTCTTTTGAGTAAATGTTGTTATTATAATTGCTTTGGCCTTTTCTTGAGTAAAGGTTATATTTATTTCCCCCCTCTTGCCTTAGTAGCTATTTTATTTTGAGTCAACAGTTTTGAGTCAATGAATGGTTTTGTATAAATAAGAAGTATACCAGTGGGGGCTTAGGAGTTACAATGGTGAGTCCTGAGAATGTATCTTCCTTATGTGAAGGTTATCCCTAGGACTCTGAAAGTTTAAGTTGTAGAAGTATGGGTGAGAATGTGACCAGTCCCATCCCTCTATGGGAAAACCCTCAAATTTGTTAATGTGAAGCCAGACTGGGGGGAGTGAGCCAGCTGAGAGGGAGTGAGGAAGTGAGAGAGAGAGACAGAGACAGAGACAAAGAGAGAGACAGAGAGAGACAGAGACAGGGAGACACAGAGACAGACAGAAAAGAGAGAGAGACAGAGAGACAGAGAGAGAGAGAGAGAGAGAGAGACAAAGGGAGAGAGAAGATACCAGTGCCATGGGACATCTTTGGGGGCATTGCCTCTTCTCTCCTCCTCTCCTCTTTCCCTCTCCTTTCTTGGTTGCGCTCTGTTGATGCTCAAGGTAGAACTTGTGTTTTGGGTATGGGTTGTTATTGTTGTTGTTTTTATTGTTCATTCTTGAAGAGGACGAATGACATTGTGAGGGTGATGACTTAACTTGCACATGTGGGTAAAATAGCTCTTATCTGTACATTGATGCAGTTTCATGTTCAAGCTCAGGTAAAATTAGCCCAGTTGGGCTAATCTGCCAGCCCCAGGTCTATACTGGCTACCCAGTGTGACAGAAATTTTCTAATTCACTAAATTCTAACTTCTATTCTCTTTCTACAAAGACAATAGGGGGTCCCATTCTCCCCTCTCCTCCCCTCCCCTCTCTTTCATCTCTTTCTAGCAGTCAGAAAAGTTTCCGCATTTTTGAATTAGCATGCACAAGCTAAGCCAGAACTGCACAGATGAATTTTTTTTTGGTCTATGGCAAAGAAGTATTCACACCTTCCACAGTAAGAAACAGCCCAGCACCCAAATGTCAAAACTTGAGCCTGAGCTCTTCCTCACTACTGCTCTCTAATGAGTGGGAGGAGCCACCTCAGATGACACTCAGGGATGCATTAGCCAGCAGAGTCTGAGGTCGGATTTCCTCATAGGCATGTTGTTCTCACAGTGACTTGTCTGACTAGACCCAAGTCCTTAGTTCACTCCTGTAACGATCCCATGGATAAACAAGGAGGGGCTCCCTAGAGACCTGTGCTCTCTGGGGAACCATGGAAATGGAACCATGGAAATGCCGCAGACAGAACTTTCCCCCTTTGTGGTTGGATCCCAAACAAGGCGCCACACAAAATTCACGCAAGAGTTAGGGTACTTGATTCTACTGTTAACTGGTGTATAGAAGCTAGGCTGATTCCTTGGCTCTATCTTAGTCTGTGATCCGTGATCACAATAATGCTATAGCTGCTTGGGCATGCCTAGAAACAATGCAGCCAGTTTGACATTCCCTGGCAGTGATGAGATTCTGCCATGGCTTTCTCAGCTTTTAACACGTGTCCGTAATTACATCCCTCAGGTTGCAATTATGGACACCTGCCTAAAGGGCACTTGGCATATGCTTCCCGGCACTAATAAATGCAAGCTCTTTAGTGGCATACCACTAGGAAAGGGTGGTCAAGAGTTTGCTGGACTTGCAATCCATAAGCACCATGGAAATAACAAAGCTTACCTAGCACCTACTTGACAAGAATAATTAGTTAAAATAATAATAGCTACAATTTACCCATCGATTTAAGGTTCATAGAGTGCTTTACATATGTTATCTCATTCGATCCTCACAACAACCCTGAGTAGGAGATGGTATTATTATTCCCATTTTGCAGATGAGGAAATAGGCTGAGAGAGTGATTTGTCCAAGTCATGCAGCTAGCAAGTTATCTGGAGCAAGATTTGAAATCTGTCTTCCTGACTCAGTCTAGTAGCCCTTTATCCACTAATAGGAAGTATCAGGTAGCATGCTGGATTGATTTCCTTCCTCTCTTCCTATGACTGACCTCGCAAGGAGAAGCTTTCAGCCTATGTCTCAGGGTTTCTGTCTTGTTCGCTCCTTTCCCATCCAACTGAATGCACATTTCCCGTTATTTGTCCTGGGTGTGATCAGTGGCATTTGCCCCAAGAGCAATCATGCCTCCTTATGGCTTTGCTCCATGGATTGTGAGGCATGTCTAACCTTGCCTTTCCTGAAGTGATATCACAGATAGTGCTGACTTCTAGTTAATGACCTCAGATCCCATTTATTTGTGCCCACTGACACCCAATGATCCAGGTCCAGGTCAGACAACTTTACCTTTAAAATTCTGAGAGTTTCGTTGAGCTCTAGTCCCTTGCCCAGCTTGATGGCCCCTTCGTTGTTCAGGTGGTTGTTGCTGATATCCAGGTAGGACAGAGTAGAGTTGACTTTGAGCGCATCCCCCAGGGCCTGAGCCCCTTCATTACCAAAGGCGTTCCAAGAAACATCCAAAATCTTCAGGGTAACATTGACCTCCAGGGAAAGGGCAGAATAGCACAGCAGTCAAGGTTGTATGTGGCACGTCAGTTGATGAGTACTGATTTATACCCCCTTCTCCATAGCTATCTACCCCACTTCACTAAGATCCTATAGCAACCAGAGGGACAAAACCAGAAAGAATTTGCCTTCTCCGGATACGTCCTTCTTGTGCCCAGGCTCTTAAGCACCTGGACTTCCAACTAGGAGCTTAGCCAGGCCCTGGTGGTTGCTATGGGTTGATTTTTTGAGACTGACTCAATATCATTGCCTGGGCCTCCATCAGAGTGAGTTTCCCTACACCAGGGATGCATTTCTAATACATGAAGACTTGAACTAAATGGCGAATGTACTTAGCATTAATCTCTTTACTGTTTACCTGAGAAAGAGCATGCTGATGGAGACTGTTAGCACACCAGGGAAGGCAATGCATTGGAACGACAGAGATGGGAGGAGAGCAGATATGGCAATTTGCTTTCAGAGAATGCTGCAGGATTCTGCCCTCACAGAGGTTGCTTGCGAATATATTTAAGTGGGAGGCTTGATCCAATGCTTTGCCATTGTATGGGAGAATGGACTATTACAATTTTTCAGGGATATAGAACATTACAGTATAAAGTGAAAAGGAAAGGGGGAAAGGACCTGCCTTTTTTCTATCAGTGTATACTAGTATACATTGGTATGCTGATCTCCAACAGGAGGCAGCCAAGGGAGTGAGGGGCTTGTGGGTTTACTCCTTAGGGTACTTTGTGTTTCTGTGGCCAAACTAATCTGCTGCACCAGAGTCTGGACACAGTCAACATGGTCAGTGAGTGGTCTACAATGACTATATATTCCGATTGAGTGGAAGCTAAGCATCTGACAGAACTAGGGGTTCTATCTACTAGGGGTTAGAAGCACAACAGAGACCTAGTATTATGATAACTGTCCAGTCTCGGGTACCTGAAGAGAAGAGCAAAGAAAGTGATGATGATGATGATGATGATGATGATGATGATGATGATGATGGTGACACGGGACTGGGAGATGCATTGGGCCCCTTCCCAGGACCCTACTCACCACCATTTGAGACAGCACCTTACCCGGAGACTGTGACACAATGACAAAGCCCCCTTCAAGTTCAGTTGGTTCCAGCTGAGGTTCAATGTCTGCAGTCCTTCATTGAGGACTGAGGATGAGAAGATATTTTCACATCAAACATATCCAACAGTGTCACATATCCAAGTTACCATGCTTTATACAAAGGTATTACCCAGCATATGTCCCAACTGCTCTCCTCCCTTCTCAGAAAATTCATTGTGGCTGAGGTCCAGGACCTTGATTTGGTAATTAGACTGGGGAAAGAAATAGTGGAGGGTAGGTACTATTACTTTTTCTTTCTTTCTTTTTAACCTACTTCCACTTTTCATCTACTTAATGAAAAGGAGAGGGGATGTTACAGGGTGATCTCAGATCTTGGTCATTTCTTTTTTTAAAAACATATTTTATTTCCCCCCAATTACATGTAAAAACAATTTTAAAATTTATTTCTTAAAACTCTTCAGTTCCAATTTTTTTCCTCCCCTTTCCCCCTCCCCCCATCATTGAGAAGGTAAGCAATTTGACATAGGTTATACAAGTGCAGTCATGCAAAACACATTTCTATATTAGTCATGTTGTGAAATTGGTCATTCCTTTTCAATGAATGATGGCTGGTAGAAGAATTTAGTGCTTCTAGGAAGATACTGTGGTTTGACTTTATCCAAAGATGGAAGTGAGGGGAGATGACATAATGACTACCTTCCCTGAAACCAGGCCAGTGGGACTTACTCTTTTGCTTAGCAGTTGCCTAGCTCTGCCAATGATCTTCATGGCTTGACTTCCAGAGATTTGTCATTAAATAAACACTGGTACTATGCCCAGTGGATGCACTGTACTAGGTGCTAGGCAAGATAGAAAGATAAGCAAGATATACTCCTTGCCCTCAAGGACTTCATAATGTAATAGAACAATCAGACATGTTCACAGATAGATCAAATGATAGTTAGAAGATGCTAAGTATGTAGGAGGGCTCCAAAGGAAGATGAAATCATCTGGTAAGTAGTAGAACTAAAACTGGAACTTGTCTTCCCCTTCAAAACCAGTGCTCTTCCCACTATGCCTTGCTGTCTCTTAGTCAGCAGGGAGTGGGGATAGGTGGTAGGGTGTCTCTCAAGTGTAGGGGAAGAGGCAGAAGGGAGAATATGTTTCAGTAGCTTCCTAATTTCTTACCATAAGTGCATTGCAGAACATCTGGGCTGTATCATCATTGAAGTTATTCCCTGCAATGAAGAAGTTGCATGGATGGAATTCATTGGGCATCTAACTTCCCCCCACACTCTTCTTCTGGTCTCCCTCCCCAACACCCCTTGTGCCTCTCTTTCTCTAACACTTCCCACCACCAAGGAGATCCTACTCCTGCCAGCAGCATTTTTATTCATTGGGGATGACAGGGAATGGAGAAGAGTGATGCTGAAAAAGGAGACAGAAGCAAAAATGGATCCACATGATCAATATCGTCATTTCTCTTCTTTCTCTATCCCCACTTGGGTCATTCTGGGAGCTCTCTGGGGTAGTGTACAACACTCTACCCTTCAAAATGGCAGCATTAGTCCCACATCTGGGTCCCACCTGAAACCACCTCAGTCTTTAGCTTTTTCTCCATAACCCTTCATTGGTGTGAAGAAGTGAACTTCCAGTTATTCTGCTGCTAGGTTTGTCTCTGGGATGCCAAATAATCTTCGACTGATTCTTTTCATGACACAGATGGACTTTTGAGGGGTACCAGGTCCCCACAGCCAGGTACCTTTGTCTCTTCCCTACCTTTCCAATTTCTTTTTATGTGTTGTCTTCCTGCATTAGTAGGTAAGCTCCTTTAGAGGACACACTGTCTTCCTATTTGCATTTGTATTTCCAGCACTTAGAATATGGCTTAGCACATGGTAGGTACTTAATAAATGCTTGGTGACTAACTACTGACCAATTGCTTTGTCATGTAGAAGCACAGAGGGTTCAAGAACCTATTCTCTTATCTCATCCTTTGCTTCCCCCCTCCATACCCTGATCTTGAACTTCACCTGCAAGTTGAATTGACCAGAGTGAAGAAGTATTTTCCAAGAGAAAATCTGTGATAATTTTGGCCCCTGGAGAATCCAAGTGATTGTTGGAGATATTCTAAAAGGCAAAACAAATGAGAAAAATACAGCAGATTGCCACTATCACTAACACATGCAATGTGATAGAAAAAAGAGGGCATCAGAAGACCTGTGTTCTGAGTCTGCTGTTTAACCGTGACCATTGACCTCTCTGAGCTTCAGTTTAATCATCTGCAAAATGAGATTGGATTATATGACCTTTAAGGATCTTCCCTTCAAATCCTACAATCATATGAAGGTGGCCAGGGTATTTTTTTACCTGAGGTCTATAAGGAGGAGATGGAAGCTAAGAGAGGCCTGCAGAAATTAAAATGCTTTATTTTTCAAATGATTTGTCACTCATTGCCTTTGAAAGATTTTTCAACAAGGAAATGGACAATGAGGTCAAGATGCCCATTAATGCCGCCTGAAATCTGGGCAGGAAGAGCTTGTTAGAGCATTCCACTGGAAAATCAGACAAGAGCTCCATGGACTTCCTCCAGTACATCAGGCCCTAATATGAACGTAGCCCCAAAGGAGAGGAGCCAATGGTGGGTGGTGGTAAGGCTGGTGGCAAACTCTGGGTTTGGCCGGCACTGCCATGGCCTGATCTGCATTGGGTTTTGAAGCCTTGGCTCAGATAGAAGGAAAAACTGAAAGGAGGACAGTATACCAGTTCTTGAATGTAGTAATTCTCATGTAGCATCTGCATCAGGGCCAAGGCACCTTCTTCCAGGATCCAATTGTCTTCTAACTCCAGGCGGGTGATAGTTGTATTGGACTTGGGCCATCATGTGGGAAAGGACAAAAAAAAGAGTCAGTAGCATTACCCATTCCCCAAGCACAACCAGAACTCAACTTTACACTTGAACCTTCTGTTCACATCTGATGAAGCTTAATAAGGGCATGAACTTTTAGGGGGTAGGGGGAAGAGCTAGGGAACATGAATTCAAATCTCACACTCTCTTTCTGACCTTGGACAATTCATTTTTACTTCTCTGGGCCTCGGATTCCTCATCTGTAAAACGGGGAGGTTGGACCACGTACCTTCTGACAGCCCTCCAGCTCTGATCCTCCGAGGCAGCCAGGGAATGTGATAGAGGGTGTGCCAGACTTGGAGTCAAAAGCCCTAAGTTCAAATGCTGCCTCAGATGCTCATTCTATGACCTTTAACTCTTTTCATCTTCAAGTTTCCTCCTCTGTAAAATGGATCTAGTGATAGCATCTAACTTGAGGATTTGTTGTGAGGATGAAATGAGATAATATATTTGAAGTACTTTGCAAACTTTAAGGCATTACATAAATATTAGCTATTATTATTAACTATATAAGCTGTGAATAATATGGGAGAATCCCATGGTAGTATTTCCATATTATGGTAATAATGGCAATAATATGGTAATATTTCCACATATAGAGTATAAGTCTTGTTAGACTTACATGGGATCCTCCATTGAAAAAGATGGGAATATTTGCAGAGATGGGGGCCTATGGATACAAAACACTGCATATACCATTAGATTCTGTTGACACATTGGTTAGTTGTACTGAAGTGCTTCTCCCCTTCCCCACACATACCTTTTTATTTTTTGTGACAAGGGGTGGCTTTTAGGGAATGTGAGAGAGAAGAATATATCCAGGAAGGAAGATGAGATAAAAACAAAAGTGATCGATAACATTTTTTTAGAGAAAGGGTATGAGGAGAATTTGAAGACTGTTTGCAAGAGCCCCTAAAGTGATTAAAGGACTAGACAATAAGAACTTAGAGAAGAGACTCAAGGGATTCCTAAGTTTTAGTTTCTTCATTTGTAAAATGGGTATAATAATACTTGTACCATGTATTTCACATGGTTGTTGTGAGAATCCAGGGAAATACTGTATATAAAATCTCCATATAACTAATCATAAATTTAATCATAAAAAAGCATGAATGGACCCATGATCTCATTGATATGATCACTCTGTTGACCAGTATGGATGGTAACACATCTTCACTTATTCATACTGCCCAATCCTTGTCTATATCCTTTCATAAATTCTTCATAGAGAATCTACCCAAAGCTCTGGAGGTCTTCCTCTAGGTTTGTTTTTTTTAAACATTTTATAAGTACCATGGTAGGACTCAGGTTGTCCATGTATTATGTTTTAGATGTGTGACCAGCCCACTTCTTTTTTTGGAGAAGCATTTCTTTGTGTTACTTCTTATGTGGAAATCATCACCTACAGTAATTTGTGACAGCCTATCCATAACCACCATGTGTGTGGCTCTCCATTAACCCTTCATGATGCTCACAATTTTGATTATTCAGAGTTCATGGTATTCCAGGATTTGTAGTAATAAAAGGTTGCCAGGAGAATCTTTTTTTTGGTCCAGACCCATGATTTCATTCATGTAGGGAGCTCTACCTTTAATTAATGCTAATCAGTAAGTATTTTGCAACTTATGATCTTAGAGAACAGTCTGAATGACTTGTCCAGGCTCACCTAGCTGCTAAGTATCAGAGGTGGGATGTGAACCTAAGTCATCCGACTCCAGAGTCAATTCTCTATCCACTCCACCATGCTACCAATCTACCAGGAGAATACAGATACTTAAGTGATGGTGTTTTGACTCAGAGAATAGCTTGAGATCATTGAAAATGGGTAAAGTTTGCCATATACAATCTAGCCCACTTTCTTTCTGTTTTAATTTTGGGACCAACTCATTGTCAATCTGCAGTGACTACCTAAGATCGATCAATCGATTGATCTATCTATCTATCTATCTATCTATCTATCTATCTATCTATCTATCTATAGATATAACTATAGATAGATAGAAATAGATACACATGTACATACATACATGCATACATATATACTGATTCAATTGGCTGACCATTCAACAACTATGACCATGAAAGTCATCCCTTGATTTTTCCTGTGTGGATTGTTAGGCAATTCTCTTTTGAATGTCCATAGATCTCATTGAAGAGGTCCTGTGGTATTCGGGGCTTGATGTAATACGCAGAGTGTCATTCACAAATAAGAGTGTCTAGAGGGCCTCCCCTCTCTTTTTCCACTCGTACTCTTAGCTAGACATCTTTGGTAACCCTCTTTTTTATGCCTCATTCAGTATTGATGTAGTATAGAACAAACCTTTGCGTCCTTCCCAGGTCATGGTCCCCTGCTCTTCCATTTGAGCTCCTTGAGTGTTTTAGAAAGTAGTCTTGGGTAATTTGAATCAACTCGCCCAGCTGGCCCTGGAATGGCTCCGGAGTATGAGAGACAATTGGGAGGAGAAGCGGGGAGTCTCCCTTGCTTCTTGTGGCTTAGGGGGAAGATTCTTGAAGGACGAAGGGGGAAGGCACAGCATCTGGGTACTGGGTAAGAGAGGACAATGAACTATGCAAGTCAACCAGACCAGCTTGGTACTTGGAATGGAGACCTGCTTGGAAGGTATGAAAGGGCAGTGCATTCCTGCTCACTGAAAAGCTTTCTCTGAGGCCTGAGTTCAGAAGAAGCTCTGCTGTAAGGGAGAAGTCCAAGGGTAGGGTCCCTTGTTTGACACCACAGGAGAGTAGGATTCAGGGAACCAAGTGTCTCCAGCCAGGAAAAGGGAGCTTTGGACTATACCTAGCAACTCCAGGATAGACTTGTAGGGGGAGACTTTACGGGAGGAACTTTGAGCTGAGAGCTGCAGAAGATGCTGCTGGGCACTATTTACTGGAAGACAGCAGGCAGAGGAAAGAGTTACATTCTGCACAATAGCCAGAGTTTGTAGGCAAGGGCCATTATTTTCCATGAGCTCTGTTTTGTGAACCTTATTTGTTTTCTTTACTCTGTGTTAATGAGACTGCCTGATATCTACCCCTTCTGTTATCTAGACTGAAGCACCTTAAGTCTGTGAAGGGCTAGTATTCTTTTCACCTAGATATCTTTTCCAGTAATGGTCACTAGATCATCTAGTAGGCAGAACTCCACTGAAAAAACATGAATATGTGTGTGTGTGTGTGTGTGTGTGTGTGTGTGTGTGTGTGTATGTGTGTGTATAAGAGAGACAATGACAGAGAGACAGAGATAGAGAGAAAGAAAGATCCACAGAGAGACCGAGAGGTACAGGGAGACAGGAGGGGAGAGAGAGAGAGAGAGAGAGAGAGAGAGAGAGAGAGAGAGAGAGAGAGAGAGAGAGAGAGAGAGAGAGAGAGAGAGAAGCTAATGGGGACTACAAAGCACATAGACTATCTAGTGAAATTCCTAATTCATTTTATTTATTAAGTATATGTGCCAGGTACTGTATTGGGTGGTGGGGCTATTAAGACAAAGAAAGTCATTTTGGCTAGTTGTCACAGTGGATAGAGTGCTGGGCCTGGAATTGGGAAGAACAGAGTTTAAATCCAGCTTCAGATATTTACTAGCTGTGTAACCCTGGGCAAGTCAGTTAACCTCTGACTGCCTCAGTTTCTTCAATCACAAAACAGGGATAATTAACAGCATTTATGTCCCAGAGCTGTTATTAGGATTAAATAAGATAATTTTTTATTAATTTATTTTAAACTTAGATGCTAAAACAAATATACAATAAGGAAAGAAAAAATGTTATAAACTTAAATACTAAAACTTAAATGAGATAAAGCTTAAATTTGAAAATCACCTAGCATAATGCCTGGAACATAGTAGGTGCTATATTGATGACTATCCTCTCTTACCTCCTTCTCCATCCTAAAAATATAAGGCACATAGTTATTTCTGAATAGAAGATGGCAGTAGACAGCCCTCCAGGACGCGGTTGTGCCTATTTGTTGATTGATAGATTGGTTTTTTTTTTTTTTGACTTTGACTACCACTGTGGGAATGGGCAGAGAAAGAGTTGTCAGCATAATCAGTTCATACTCATACTTAGTTGTTCTCCTAAACATCAGTTCAATTCAATTCAGCAAACATTTATTAAGAACATACTTCGTGTAAGGCACTGTATTAGGCACTAGAGATACCAAGGCAAGGAAAACAACAACAACAAAAACCCCATAGTCCCTGATCTCAAGGAGCTTATATTATACATTTTCCTCAGGGTACATCCTGGCTACACTTGGTTCCCAATGAACTATCCTAGAACTCTTGAAAAAAAAGGACAGTGAACAGGATATCAGTCATGAATAGCATGAAGAAATCACAGTGTAAATAATCTATCATAATTATCCTCATAATACTCAGTCCTATATGTCCCATAGAACTCAGTATAAACATAACAGATGCTGGACAGGATGAGAAGCATGGATGGATTGAATCTGGCACAATTGGTGGAGAAAGTAGGGATCAGGGATCCACCAAAGTCCTTTCCTTTCCTTCTCATTCTCCTCCTCCTCTCTTCTCTTCTCCTCTCTTCCCTCTCCTCTCCTTTCCTTTCCTTCCTCAGTCTTCGAGACTGAGTCTTTCTAACTTGTCTAGGCTGGAAGCTGGGTTGGTTTATGCCTCCTTAGGTAGCCTACTTCTCTTACCCCCTCCCCCCAACCAGGGGCTTCCTGTATGAGTGCTAGACTTAGTGCAGACACCCAGTTGACTTAGTCCACTTCTGAACTCCTAAACTCAAGTGATCCACTATCCTTGACCTCATCAGTAGTAAGGATTACAGACATGCACTACCCAGGCCAAGACATCAACATATATATATATATATATATATATATATATATTATATATATTATATATATATATATATTTTAGGCAATTGGGGTTAAGTGACTTGCCCAGGGTCACACAGCTAAGTAAGTGTCAAGTGTTTGGTCTGAGGCCGGATTTGAACTCAGGTCCTCTTGACTTCAGGGCCTGTGCTCTATCCACTGCGCCATCTAGCTGCCCCGACATCAAAATATTTTTAAAATATCTAAATAAAAGAATAAATGAACAAGTAGAAAGAGTATGTTGACTCACAGTCCTCCATTCCCCCTGAACAGAAGAGCTTTAGCTATAATGTTAAGGATCTGGTATAGCTAGAAGGAGGATGTTTTTCTTACATGACATTCAAATATGGAGTACAAACACCATTTTGAACTTGCATTTGCCCACTCAGATCCAGGAGAGGTAGGAAATATATCAGGGAAAGAAACAGTAACTTTCATATTCCCTCCAGAAATGCCTTAAAGATAAGGAAGACTTTGAGCATGGGAAAGCTTTGAATGGGCTGTCTAGGGACACTGGAACTGCCTCTGGTGGCCTTAAAAATTAACAGCCTTACCCCATCTGGGTGGGTCCTGTCTGAAGGCAGAGAAATGACTTAGCTGAGTTTGTTAGTTCCCTTGCAGCCTTAAGAGGGCATATAGACAGGGGCTGGAAACCTACTTTAAATCCAACCTCCCTGGCTATACTTGGGATCATTCTGGGGGAAGATTCCACTTCCAGCTTTTTCGTTGTTGATCCATTAATCACAAACCAACAAACATCTATTAAGTACCTACTCTGTGCCAGGCCCTGTGCTAGGCTCTGGTGATACAAAGATGAAAATGAAACAGGCTTTGCCCTCTTTTTTTTTTTTTTTTTTTGTGTTTTAGGCAATTGGGGTTAAGTGACTTGCCCAGGGTCACACAGTTAGTATGTGTCAAGTGTATGGTCTGAGGCCGAATTTGAACTCAGGTCCTCCTGACTCCAGGGCCAGTGCTCTATCCACTGCACCACCTAGCTGCCCCATCATGCCTTGCCCTCAAGAAGCTTTCATTCTATTGGGAATGAAAAGTAACATGTACAAATGAGTATGTCAAACATAAATACAAGGTAATTTTGTAGGGGAAGTACTAGCAGCTGGGGGGAGGAACCGAGAAAAGCTCCCTAAGGAAAGCGTATGTAAGCAGCACTCTGAAGAACAGTAGTCATCCTAAGAGGTGGTGCATCACAGACGTGGAGGGCAGCCATGCAGAGGCACCCGAGTCTGTGCGTGAGGGATAGCAGCAAGGCCAGTTTGGCCGACTGTGGCGTGTGAGAGTCTGGAAAGGCAAGCTGTAGCCAGAATGAAGACTTTAAATATCAAACAGAAGAGGCTGCATTTAATCTTAGAGACAGAAGAAGCCACGCGAGTTTGAGGGCCCACTTTGCACGGTCGGACTTGTGTTTTAAGAATCATTCCTCTGGCATCTGTGTGAAGGACAGACTGGAGAGGGCAGGGACTTTAAGTGCAGGGTCCAATTAGGAAGCTATTGCAATAGTCCTGGTGGGAAATGATGAAGACCTGAGCTAGGGTGGTGGCGTGTGAGTGGGGAGAAGCAGGTGGATGTGAGAGATACAGACAGAACTGGTAAGACCGGTAACTTATTGATGGATTGACCCATTGTGAGGGGGCAACTCATAGTTTGATTCCCAGTCCCATCCCTTGCTGTTGGAGCTGTTGATGGGGCTGTTGCTTTGGTTTCCTGAATAAGAGGACATGGTGCCAGTACCCTGGACCCCAGTAAGCCAAAGGGTATCTTAGACTTACAGGGGAAATTTGACATGTGCAGCACAGGATGCTGCAGTAAAGCGGGAAAGGCTGATGGAGAGAGAGGGGTGTTAATCACCCCTACTATAATTAGAATGAAGACAAGATTGTGAACATTCCAGGTCCCTCCTGCCATGACCACCATTTTCACTGCCTTTGGACTTTGCTTTGGTCATACTCACCACTAAGGCTATGGCAATGGCTTTGGTACCTTTGGGTCCCAGCCCATGATGATTGAGGTTCATGTGGGTTTCCTCCATGTTTCTGATGAAGTAAGACACAGGAATCACTCCTACAAGCTTGCAGGCTTCTAGGTATACATCTTCTTGTCCTGTAGTGAAAGTCTTCTCAGAGTCAACTAGGAAAAAGTACAAAAAGCAGAGTCAGAACACTTTCTTTTCCAACCCTCCCCTTGCTCCCCTTCCTCCTGAGCCGCCCTACTTCTCAGCTATTCTTCCTTGGACACAAAGGATCTAGGTTCAAATCAGTTTTGCCACTCACTACTTGTGTGAACCTGAACAGATCAATTATCCTTTCTAGGCCTCAGTTTCCTCATCCATAAAAATAGGCAAATTGGACTAGGTGGCCTCCAAAATATGTTTGAAATTTAAATCTATGGTTTAGGACCCATAGCCATCCTTGAGGGGAGAAATCATTGTGGAGAAGAGGCCACCAGCAACTCCTGCTAACCAACTGTCCCCAAAAGGCAGGCAGACACAGAAGCATTGGGAGTGGCAGCACCTCCACGACCTCTGGTCTTACTTCCAGACTAGCCCTCATAGCCACCATCCTAGGAGGCATCTCCTACTGAGAAAGGGTCAACCACCCCCACCAACTGTCCACAAGGCAGGCAAGCCAGCCTAACAGAAGTAGCAAGAATTAGAAGCAGAGTTAGGAGGCAGAATGTGCTGGGCAAGTCAGACTACCACCACCACCTTGACTCCCATCTTCCCTCAGTCTCTGATGAAGACTGTCAAGGACCCGGACCCCAAGAGCTTTGGGAATGGCAATGCTTCCATTCCAGGACTAATAGCTAAAATTCTGGAAGAAACTCTGTGGAGATGAAACTGCTTCTGTAGATACTACAGCCACCACACATCTATCAAAGACTCAGAAAAGTTCTTATCACCAAAGTCCTTGGTACCCTCAAATGGCTCAACATCCGAAACCGAGAGGATTTTGTCAGTGGAAAAGACAATAAAGAAGAGGCATTAATATCTGCTTTGCTGCTGCACCCTAAGGACCATGGGCTATTTCCATCTAACTTGCAGCTTAAACCTTCCTCTCCCATTAGAATGTAAGCTCCTTAAGAGCAGAGACTGTCTTACTCTTCTCTTTGTACCCTCAGCACTTATCATTGTGCTTTGTACGTAAGGAACATTTTAATCAACGTTCTATCTATCTATTCATTCATTACTATGATTCTTTAGGATTTATCATTGTGAGTGGGCCTCCTCAGGGCTGCTATAGGATTATGAGAGAGAACAAACCTAAAAAGTTCCAACCTGATAAAATGCTTCTTTGGGGAATGAGGTTAGGTATTCTATTAGTAGGACTCCAAGCTTTCAAAGAAAAAAATTAGGTGGTATCCTTCAGCCAGATCAGTAATTTAGAGTGGGCACTCAAGGTTTCGAGTCTTTGTAGGACCACAAAAGCACTACAGAAGAGTCAATCAATCGATCAACAAAGCATTTGTTAATCCTGTGCTGCACTAGGCCTTTGCACAGGGCACAGTACAGGAGAGAAACACTGGCTCTGGAGTCAGAGAACTCCGATGCTCACCAGCTATGTGAGCTTGGGCAAGTCACAATTCCCATGGAACTGAGTTTTCTCAGCTTTAAGAAGAGGGAATTGGATTAGAGGTCCTCTGAGGTCCCTTTCAGCTTTGGATCCAAGATCGTATGATCCTTAGGAATAATAAGACGAAAGTGAAACAATTCCTGCCTACAAGGAGCTTTCATCTTATGGGGAAAAACAAGATGTATACATCAAAACAAATACAACATATGTACAAAGTAACTTCAGAGAATTGTGGAGGCAGTAGCAGTTTGGGGGATTAGGAAATCCTGGAAGATGGCATTTGGAATGATCTTTGACAGTGAGGGAGTTTAAGAGACAGAAGTGGGGAGGGTGTGCATTCCGTACAAAAGGGACAAGTTTGTATCTAACAGAGAAGGGAATGAATGGAATACCACGTATAAAGAAGAGCAAGTAAGTTGGTTGAGTTGGAGTGTAGCATATAATAAAGATATTAATGTGTTATAAACCTGGAAAAACAAACTGAAGCTAGATTATGAAGGGTTTTAAGTGAGAAACACATGAGTTTGCATTTTGTCCTAGAAGAAATGAGGAGACACTGAAGTTGACTAAATCCTACGGACATGGGTCGGACCTGAACTTTAGGAAAATCATTTTGGTGGCTCTGTGGAGGATGGACTGGAGAGGGGAGAGACTTGAGATGGGGAGACCAGTTGGGAAACTATTGAATAATAATCCAGAGGGTAGTGGTCCAGTAAGTGGAGAGAGAACCACTGGGATTTATTTGTAGGGCTCGCCTCATTTTTTAAAGGTTTCCCATGTATTATTTCATTTTGTCCTATGCCCTTGCCCATTTTGTAGTTGGGGAAACTGAGGCCCACAAATGTTAGACAAGTTGCCCAATCTTACAAAGAGAGATAGAGCCCAAAGTCAATATGAGGTCTCTACTTCTTAATGTAGAGAAATTTTGATTACTTTGGTTTTCTGTGTTTTAAACCGGTCCAGCCTAGCTCATGCCCGAGGGAGTCTGGCTTTTTTCAGTTCCTGAAATCTCAACAGCTGGCTCTCTTTCTGGTCATGTCAGATCTACTGGCTGAGCTCTCTGTTGTCTGGCTTGGATCTAAATTTTGCATCTGTTTTCCTTCTGATCCCAGGGATTTTGGCCAACTGAGCACAAGCATTTCCAAGAAAGACAGGGCTGCCTTTGTCAGGGAAAGGAAAACAGATCTATGGGGCAGCTTCTCCTGGGGTCATAGACACATATTGGCCTTCTCTTTCAGATCCAAACTGATAATTTTTGGATGTGAAGGATGGCATGGCATGGCTGATGAAGGATAGCCCCCTATGGGAGGTGACCTCTCCTCTCTGACTGTGCTTAAGAGCATTGCTCTTCTGATTTGGACCTCCTGCTAATGCTGCCACACCCACCAGTGTCCAGCTAGGTCCTTTCATGCCAACTGATGCTGATGCTTCCCACTTGGGACCTAGGGATGATGTTACTTGAGGCCACCAGGGAGGGGCTTTTTCTTTTATAAGCAGGGGTTCTTATCCTAGGGTCCATGGATTTGTTTTTTAGAATATTTTGACACCTGCATTCCAATATGACTGGCTTCCTTTGTAATTCTGTACACTTTATGTTATGTGTTACAAACAATATTCCGAAAAGGCTTCACCAGGCTGTCAAATGGGTCCATGATAAAAAATCAAGAACCCTTGCTTTAGAGGGGGCTTGTAGCCCCTGACATGACTGCAGGGATACAGACAAGACAGAGCAGCTGTAGGCTGGTTTATGTAACCAACCTAAGCCAAACACAGGCCCCAGAGGTTATATTCCATGTGGCTGCAACTGTCTCCTGGTTTGTCCTTGGGACAAATTCCATTCTTGTTAGAACCCTGGAAACCTGATGAGTTTGGAACCCAGGATTATTCGTAGCTCTCTTCTCTACGGCTTCATTTCAAGGCAACTTTCAGCTCAGCAGCTCCATTCCCCTGGAGAACCTCGCAGAAACCACAGGATGTGTCCTTCCCACCTCTCAACATTTGTGTCCAGGTAAAACTAGAAGCATGAAAATGAAGAACAGCACGCAACCCAAGGGCTGTATGCCTATATGGAAGAGGTAGAGTTTTTGGCTTATGTGAGGAGATTAATGGGTTGATTGTATCAATAAAAGCCTCGGGGCCTTTAAAAAAAATAAACTGGCAGAGTAAACTGCTTTCCCTCTCATTGATTGCATCCTCAAGTCAATGCTCAGATAGCAGCAAAGGAGAGTGAATGTAAGTGTGGTTGTGGAGCACCAAAACTAGGTGTCTAGGGGGATTGCTTGGTTCCTCTATGTGGGGGCCATCGCCAGCCATCCTGACCTATATCTTGCCACTGAACCTCGAATGACTCTGGAGGAGAAAGTGAGGCTGATGACTTTGTACAGCCTTACCTCACTAAAATCCAATCTACTCCCAAGTCATCACCCTTCTGAAGTCATTGGTCCTCTTTGGAAATGAAGGACAAATAACAACAATCCTTTATGTAACTCAGCCAGTGGGCCCCTGAAACCTGCTCTATAGCACTATGTGCTACCTTCTGGTAAAATCTATATATTTAATGAAAGTATACTCCTGGGAACATGTGAAATGTCTCCAGGAGTAGATCTATAAAGAGACAGCATGGTGCAGTAGAAAGATTGCTGGGTCTGGAGTCTGAGGCCTGGGTTTGAAATAACTGTCATTTACTAATTGGGTGACCTTGGGCAAGCCTCTTAACCTCTGTGGCTTTCATTTTTCTCATCAGCAAAATGAAGAGGTTGGATAAGATGACCTCTAAGGTCCTTTCTGTCTCTAAGCCAATTACCCTTACTTGTTCTACTTGGCAGGTCAAGGCCTTTAATTATGAGGTTTGAGACATTAGCCCACAAAGTCAGGCTCTTACTAATGCTTTTTCCTTCAGATTTTGAGGCTTGTTTTGTTTATAACCAGTGTATTCCATTGGAATGTAAACTCCCTGAGGCAGGATCCTATTTGTCTTTTGTTTTTATATGTCTGGTGTAGAGCAAAACACATCACATAGTAAGTAGGTGTTTAATAAATGCTTTTTGATTAATTGATTTTTTTTGCTGGTACAGGGGGAAAGTGTTGGAAAAAAAGGTAAAGTGGGTCCTTTCTGAAATTTTGGCAATGAGAACCAGAATTTGAACTCATCACACTGAACTCCTCCAGCTCTGTGGAGAGGAGGGGCTTGCTGGCCACTCCAGTATCTCCTTACCCCTCCCCCTTGTTTCCCGCCCGGCCGCGCCCCAAATACTTTGCAAGTTGTTTGTATCATTAACTAGTTAGACCATGAAGCCAGTCAACAGCTGATGAGCACTCACTATGCTTGGCCCTTTTTAACTCATGCTTCACTGAATCTTTGTCCTAGCTCCAGCCTGAACTCCCATTTAGGTCAAACCCAGGGTTTTTTGGGCCAAGGTGTGTGTGTGTGTGTGTGTGGTGTGCGTGTGCCTCTGAAAGTCCACTTTGTACCCACACTGGCTCCATATCTAGAGCACTCTTGGGGATCTCATTTGCATCAAGCATCTCCCCGTGCATTCAGATTTATTCAGGAAATCACTGGGGGATCCAGAATCTAGCTAGTATCTAAATCCCCCCAAAGGCCCAAGACCTGACCTGGCCTCCTGCAGCTCTTTGGAACAAGGCCAGTTTAGAATTGGACCAGATTGCTTTGGGGCCTCCCATTCTCTCTTCTTGGTTTATCCCTTACTCTGCCCCTTTCTGGATGCAGACTCACACACAAAGAGCTCTCAAAGCTCTCAGACACCCTAAACTCTTGGGTATAGGTAGACAACTTCCACAAAACTGGATGGAAAAATTCACATGATCCTGGGAGACTAAGCAGAGTTTCCAGAAGAGAATGCCCAGTCCTTAGCATAGTGCCTGGCACATAGTAGGCATTTAATAAATGCTTGTTGATTTAACTTAACTATATTTTGGTGCTAACTTTCCCAACATTGTCCTTATTCTTCCCCCTCATCTCCCAAAATGTAAACCAACAGATGGATAAATTTTAAAATTGCAGGTTTCTTAGGCCTCTGAGAAAATGTCCAATTGGCCCACTGGGGTACTGTGATTTTGTTGGAGAAGGCCAGCTGGTCGGTTGGATTAGATAATGTTAAGAGACGTAGCTAGGCAAATTCCCCCAAAGCCAGGCCAACAAGCAAGGCTTTCCAGTGGCAATGGGTTTCCACCCCACCCCAACCCTCATCATCGTGCCAATACATATTTAATAGACCTGGATCCTGCTGAGCTATAGGGGGCACCTTCATGTTTCACACTTTTCAGTTTAGTATTTATCTAGAGAAGAAGCTGATGGTCAGGGCACCACCTATTAACAGTATAAAAATATAGATTTAGTGGAAGAAGGCTTCAGGGCTCTTTAAACAAACAGACAAACTTTGAAGACCCTCCCAGACTTTCCCGAGATTTTTCATGGGAAAATAAAGATGTTCAGCCACCCAGGTCTTATTTGTCAGGTGAGTGGAAGGTGGCTGTCACTGTGCCTGGACCAGATAGGTGTTTAACAACTGCTGGTTGATTGAATGATTGGTTGACACTAGGTTTTCATGTGAAACTTTTCAAACCATCTATTCTGAAGCTGTATAAACTTATTTTTGATAATTGTGATAGAAGTATGTTGATAGAGAAAGCTTACTATGAGCCAGGTGCTGTGCTAATGTTGGGGATAACAAATGCAAACAAAAATAAATATAGCCCCTACCCACAAGGAGCTTATATTCTAATAGTGGAAGATAACTCACAGGATAACATTTGATGAACTACATGGCAGCCCCAAACCCGCAGCAGCTGCAGTTTGCTATCGATGGGTCTGTTGGGACAGACAATTGGGACAGACATTCGGACATCAATGAGACAGACTAAATCGTCAGCTCCTTGTGGCCAAGCCCCTGCTCATTTTTGTGTCTTCCACAGTACATGGCCTATGTAGAGCAGCTATAGGACTCAATGGTTGAAGCACTGGGCCTGGAGTCAGGAAGAACTGACTTTAAATCCAGCCTTAGGCACTTACTAGCTATGTGACCTGGGCAAGTCACTTAACTTCTTTGCCTCAGTTTCCTCATCTGTAAAATGGGGACCATAATAGCATCGACTTCGTGGGATCTTGTGAGGATCAGCTAAGGTAATACTTGTCAAGTGTTTAGCACAGCACATGGCACACAGTAAGCACTAGGTGAATGTTAGCCATCGTTATTATTATTATTGAGTGATCTCTATAGCAGAGACCACAGGACCCACCCTACCAATGAAGACACACAGGCATCTTTTAACTGTGTGGAAGCAATCATATCCCCTTGCCACTCCACCCCTCACCCCTGTAAATAAAATAATGGAGAGAGGTCTGTTAGGATGCATTATGCTTTTTGGTCCCACCCCAACATGTGCATGTTCACCTTCAATCTCCAGGTCTGTTTCATAGCTCTCAGGCTGGACTTTATCTTTTTCAATGACAGCAGGAGGTTCTACTACACAGATGATATCTTCATCAGAATCACTTTTCTCAGCCTGTTGGTCACCCTCATCTAGGAAGAAAAAAAAAGAGGGGAAAAAAGCCCATCTTGCTCAACTCTGTGTACATAACTTGCACTTTTCTCCAGCCCAACTGGAAATCATCCAACTTCACTTCTTTGCCAAGGGCTCCTTCTTGGAAATAAATCCAGATCATTATGTCTAGTCACCCAGGGTTCCCATCCTCCCCTCACCCTCTTTCCTTTTTTCCCTTTATATATATATTTTCCTGTTTATTAATTTATAGTTTTCAACATTCACTTCCACAGGATTTTGAGTTCCAAATTTTCTCACCATCTTGTATCTCCCCCACCCCAAGATGGCATGCATTCTGAATCCCCCTTCCCCTAATCTGCCCTCCCTTCTATCTCCCCCCCCTTCTCTTATCCTCTTCCCCTTCTATTTCCCTGTAGGGCAGGATAGATTTCTATACTTCATTTCCTGTATATCTCATTTCCCAGTTGTATGCCTCACCCTCTTTCTTGACTCTGGGTTTTCATTTACCTTGATGATAAAGTAACCTGACTGTCATTAAGGGAGAGGGTTTTTGGACCTCTTACAGGTTATCTGTAAACAAAGGGATTGGACTGGAATATTTCTAAGGTACCTTTGATCTCTAACACTTTGATTCAATGACAGTCCCTGTCAAACTATTTCTCCTCTCCTCACCAGTGCCCCTCACCCCCATTTGTCTGCCAGCAGTTTATTCAATTTGATTCAATTAGTATTAAATGCAAAACTATCCTTTGATCTATGCTAAACTTGTCTGGGAAGACCTGATGCTTCTTGGAAAATCTCCTAACGGTCCTGCTCTGCCTTTAACTGTCCCTACACATGACTTGACCAATTGTGTCCTTCCTTCCATCCCATGACACTAGCTTGGTGATTTGCTTAACCTACAGTTTTTCTTTTGGATAAAGAAAAAGGAAAGGCAGGATGGTGCAGTGGATATATAGGCCTTGCTTTGGAGTCAGGAAGACCTGGGTTTAAGTCCTACCTTCAACATACATTAGCTGTGTGACTGTAGGCATGTCATGTAACTTCTCACTGTCCCAGTGAACTCCTTAAAGGTATAAGCTACAGATCAACAGCTATGTGAGGATTTCCCCAAGTTTATTGCAATATTTAGCCCTCTCTAGTGTCAGTCATGGACCAAAAAGCTGGCTTGAATGACAAATGCAATTGGAGAGGAATGAGAAGTTTAATTTGGCTTCCAAAGAATAACAGCCTGCATTTATAAAGCACTTAAAGGTTTATAAAGCACATGCTAGATCATTTGATCCTCATAATAAACTTGTGAGGTAGTTGCTATTACCATCCTCATTTTATAATGATTAAGTGACTTGCCCAGAGTCACACAGCTAATAAGGGTTTGAGGAAGAATTTGAACTCAGGTCTTCTTGACTCTAAGTTCAGCAGTCTAGCCACTGTGTTGCCAAGCTGCCTAACTAAATAGTATTAACTCCTTTCCTTTCCAGTCTTTAACTAATATTATTAGGGGGAATGAGAAGATGGAGAAAAATCTCCTTCCACTTGAAATTAAATGCTAAAATATCATGGTTACATGCTTCTTTTACTGTTCCCCTTTTCTGGATGAAGAATACATAAAAGTAAGGGGATTTTTCCTTATATTCTATGCTCTCTTATGTCTTTTAAGTAATAATTTGTCATTCTTGAATCTGTTTAACTATGGGATTTTTTTTTTTTGTAATACAAAAGTCAAATGCTGAATTCTTAGCTGCTAGCATTAGAAGGAATCACTGGATGGTATATGGAAGCCACACTGTTGGCACTTCAGAAGCATGATGTTATTTGGAGTCAAAGGACTTGGGTTCAAATCCTTAACTGCTCTTAACCTGTGTGACCTTGGCAAATCATTTAAGCCTCAGGATCCTCATCTATAAAATGAAGAGCTTGTATTACGTGACCTTCAAGGTCTCTTTTCTATCTTGTAATGTATGACACCCTGATCCTAGCCTATATGTGGAGATACACCTATAGTAGGCTAGGAGATCAGTAGGCTCTGGAGGAGCAGGGCTTCTTGCAGTCCCACAGCTCTCATTTGAAATGAAGTCAGGGAGCTCTCTTATTCCTTGCACGAAAGTTATAGATTCTTGGAGTATCACACCAGTCTATGAGACATGATAGCTCAGTGTAACATAAAGAAAACTGGCTTGGGGGACAGTGGATCTGAGTTTGACCACTAATTCTCTGTGAATTATCAGGCAAGTGAGCTTACCTTTTCTGGGCCTTAGATCCTTACTGGAAATTGGATTGTGTCTAATATCCTGTCCAGCTCTAAAATCCTACAGTTCTAATTCCCTGTTGGCCAGTTCCTGACCTACCCTCAATGTGCTTACAAATCCTGTTCTAGAGGAAGATCAGACAAGAAGAGAAGAGAAGCTAGTCTCCAGGGCACATGTGATCAACCACTGCGTTTTCAGCTGAGGCAGAGCCAAAGGGAACTAAATGCTGATAATTGTTATGATTTTTCACCTTGCTTACGTTCAGCTACATCATCATCATCATCATCATAGTCCATGTTGCCAATGCCCTTCCCAGGGTTGCTGCTAGCTGCTCACCACCACCTTACTTCTCTTTCCCCCAGAAACACACTGGTACATTCACTTTTGTTTCAAATTTTGTTCAGCTTCCCACAAACAAATCCTGCTGGCCTGTTGTAATCTTTCTATCATAGCAGGCCCCAGAAAGAGCTGATTCCTGAGGTGACCTGACATGCGTGAATATTATCTCAGTTCCGTCAATTAGGATAAGCCTGGCTTCCCCTGGTCATCAGGGGCAAGGAAATTTGCTTTACCCCTGAGAAGTTTTCCTAGGACCCTGTTTAAATGGGACCCTCCCATGCCTCTTACCCCCACCCCCTCCCTCCCTCCACTTTTCATTTCATCTCCAACATTCCATGACCTCACCTAGTCATTGTGATCTAGGAGGGTGAACCTGGCAACAGCAGGCCTCGCAACCTCCCATCGGCTGAGGCAGTCATCTTTTCTCCTATGTTCATCGGGATCAAGCCAAGGGTTGGCTGGGAGCACCCAAGTGGTGTGGGTGGGTCACTCACAGGTGGTATATTTCCCTCTGAATTAGGACTGAACCAGAGCCTCTTAATCAGGTGACTGTCAAGAGCTGCCATCATGTTCTACTCTAGAGATGGTGGCTGTACTTCAAGTACAAAATATTTCAGTGGAGGTTGAGTTCAGTTTCCTCCTGTACAGGTTTTTTGGGTTTTTTTTTGTTTGTTTTTGTTTTTATTTTTATTTTTTGTTTTTAAATTTTGGAAAGCTTCCTGAAGCTTAGAGCAGAAGATCTGTATCAGACAAATATATACATTCTATCAACACAGCTGACAGCAGCCAAAGCATTATCTAAGCAAGAGCTGCTTCTTGCTAACTTAAATTGAAGTTGCCCAGAGATCATCCCCATCCTAGGCTGTATTTCATTCTTGGAGTTGAAGTTCAGTTAGAGTTTACTGGTTGGTGAATCCAGAGACATTTTTGTTCTGTTTTTATTATTACTTCTTGACAAGTTCTTCGAGCACCTCAACAGGTCAGGTCAGTAATTTGGTGGTTGATTTCAAATGACTCAATTTCCATAGATCTGTGATCTTCTCCATGTGGTTATTCCAACAGTGCAGACTGAAATCTCATCCTGTAAGACTTTTTTTGTCCGTGAACTCCAACAAACCTTCCAAAGAGTATTTATGGCCTTCTAGGAATCAACGTTTTGTGGGTACCACTGTAAGCTTTGGGCTATGCATTCTCACTGTATGTGATTGGTCCACTGTCACTTCTGATCATTTATTTCCTGGATATCTCTTAGATCCTTCTGTGTAGGTCCTCCAAGTCAAGTTTAGCACCAAAGACCGAAGGTCTTAGCTACTTAGGCCCATAATGTAAGTTCTGCCATTGACTTTTGGGTTACCTGCTGTTTTAATTATCAGGAGAGTCATGGTATTCCACCATGCACAGCCACATAAATTAAATAATTTAGTGAAATAGGGACAAAAGAAATGGAGAGCAAAGATACCAAGCCAGAAAGAAGACAGGATGCAATAGAAAAAGAATCAGACAATTCCCTTGAAAAATGTTCGGTGTGTCCATTCTTTAGAAGAAATGCTTTTAATTAAATGGAATAATTCCTGAAATGCAATCTCTTGGTCCTGGGTTCAGTGACTTCTCAGAACACTAGATCATCATTACAAAAGATAAGAGTTTAGGACTGACAGGTAAGAGGTGCTGTCAGAGGTGAGGAGAACATGTATTCATAGGCATTCATTATGTTAGCCAGAAGCCTTCACATCTCTTCTCTGTTGCACAAGAGAACACAAACACACTTTATTTGACTTCATCTCCAGCTGCTGGATCATTTCTTGTGAGCTGAAAGGGTCCATTTCTTTACTAATGAGGGTGAGGAGGTATTTAAAGGGGCCTTTAAAAAAAGTCCATCTTAGACAATAGGTTACTTGTACAAAGTAGCTGGAGTTGGAAACATCTCCTTGAAGGGAAAAAATGTTATAGGCAATTATTTTGGCATGCTGATATTTTCCCCTTGACCAACTGAGGCAAGCAGTCACTTTCACTTTGGTTCCTAGGTCAATTTAAAACCAACATAGTTATTTGAGACTGGAGTCACTTCAAAGGGGATTTTTGCTCTAGGAAAACCACTAGCCTTAGCTTCCCTGACCTACTTCAGGGCCAATGGAGTTATAAATGAGGTGCTTTGATGTGGAAAACAGTATGGCCTAGTAGAAAGGGCCCTAGGCTTGAAATCAAGTTTTGTAGGTTAAAATCTCAGCACTGACATTTCCTAGCTATGCTCTGGGGAGATGACCTATCTAAAAGTCTATAACCTGGGTCATAAGTTTTACAAATTATTGGGAGTAACTCATTTAACTTGTCATCCATATAGTATCCTCAAAATTATATTAAAATCATCATAATGCTGATGGTTGTTAGTTATCATCTACCTTTATTATTGATTACTCTTGGATTGATATGAGGTAATTCACACAGGGGATCTCACTGGAGAATTTCTTACTGTTAAGATATGGAAGAATAAGTGGATTTTTCCCCACTTGGAGGATGGGGATGTCCCTGTATATGCTATCCTGCTTAGAGTGGGGCAGTTGGTCATGTGGACCACCTCCCAGTTGGCCAACTGTATTTGGAATCTGTAAAGATCTGAGCCCCACCTAGGGCAGAGAGACCAGGGATTTACCTTAGGGCTCACAACTTAGAGGGTGCCAAATTTAAATGCTGACAACACTTGTCCTTCCACCTTACAGAAACAACAGAGCTTGTAACCTAATTAAGGGGGAAAAACCCAAGCAAAAAAATCCCAACTAATTAAAATAGGCTGGAGTAAATTCCTTCACCCTGCTCCCTATCACCATACAGTGCTGCGGTGATATCCTACCATGACCCTGACCCTCCCACTCCCTTTTCATCTGAGGATACTCCTTCATTTCACTTGCCCCACATTCTTTATGACACTTGTATCAAGTGCAAAATGACTCTGGCACAGATGTCTAAACACAACTTCTATCAGCTAATCAAATAATGCCAGATTCAGGACTGGAGAATATACGTCATATTCAAACCAGAGGGAAGGGGTCAAGTGGAAGAAAGATGTATGCCAATAGTAGGCAAAGGCTATGTTAAAACATTTCAATACAGGGGTATTAAACTCTCTATAAAATGAAAGGGTTGCACTAAGTGGCTTCATTGCTCCTTGCCAGCTCTAAAAGTCTGAGACATATATAGTTAGATAGAGGCTATAGTTGGAAATGGAAAAGGGCAATAGAATTTGAAAAGTCCCATGAATACCAGATGTTTGGCCACCATAAGTGAACCATGAACAGAAAATTCTGGGGAAGTGAAATTAGGGCATCTAAGTGGTACAGTGGATAGACCACTGCCCCTGGAGTCAAGAGGACCTGAGTTCAAGTTTGACCTCAGACACCTGACATGTACTAGCTGTGTGACCCTGGGCAAGTCATTTAACCCCAATTCTCTTGCCAAAATGATAATAAAATAAGAAAACCACCACTAAAAAAGAAAGAAAAAATGGTCTCTAAAATACTATCTTATGAAGGTGGCCCTCTATATTCTTCCCATTAGGTGGCAGTGGAGTATATAAATGTTCACTCTACCAAAAAAGCATATCAGTAGAGAGGGAAAATTTGGCTAGATTACCTGATTCATTTCCAGAGTGCTGTCTCAGGGTCTTGAGATTTTTAGCATTTTGACCAGTGCCTCACAGAGGGACCTGAAATGATTGGAATAATGGTATTCTGTGTACACATTTTTTTGTCATTCAAGGATCCCAACACGCTACTAAATTTTTTCTTTCATCCTTTCAGTACCTTGGGGAAGAAAATAAGGAAAGGGCTAATTCTTAATTGGCTATTGTTTTACAGACTTGGAAAAGGAAATAAATAGAGGCTAAAGCAGCTGACAAATTAGTACCTGGTGGGTGTTTATAGGATCATAGATCATGAACTCAAAGGAAACTTTTAATCCCACCTCCTTTTACAGATGAGGAAACTGAAACCCAAGAGGAATAAGTGACTTGCCCAAAGTCACAATAAAAATAATAATAACTATCATTTCTGTAATGCTTTAAGGTTTGCAAAGAGCCTTTCAACTATCACTTCCTCAACTCTGAGAAGTAGGTGTTATTATTACTTCCATCTTCTAGATTAGGAAAGTGAGACAAACAGAGGTTAAGTGACTTGACCACAGTCACACAGCTAGTAGGGGCTGGATTTGAGCTGAGGTCTTCGTGACTCTAGGTTCTGTACTCTCTACTGTACCATCTAGCTGTCATCATTCTTGGTGAAGCCAGAGTTTGAACCCAGATCCTTTTTCCTCCTAAAGTCGGGATTTTTTTTTTTGGTCCAGCTGTATCATGCTACTTCTCTAATGTGAGGAGCAAGGCCCAGAACACTCAGCAAGACCGTGTTCCCTCTCTCCATGTTCCCTTTCTCATAACTCCTTTTCAGGATTAACCAACACCATACTACAGCAAAAACAGCCATTTGTAGGGTTAAGGGCAGGAAATTTCCAAAATTTAAAAAGAAATAATTTGAAAAGGGGCTGAGGGATAACACACAAGTTGGGAAGGTATAAAGTTGAACCTTCTCTAAATCCCAAAGAATCCCAAACACACAAAGTTGTGCTGAAAACGTCATCTCCCTTGTTTTTCCTCTCCCTTTCCCCTCTGAATCTCACCTCTTTATGCACAAATCATGAAGAAGAGGCTTTCTGGCTAGGATCCGGATAAATATTCTAAGTTAGGACCAGTTTTAGAACTTGAACCTCTGGGAGCTAGAACGGAGGAAAGAGAGAGAGAGTCTCTCAAAATTAAGCTTCTGTCTAAGATGGTGGCCTTCCTTTGAAGCCTTTCTCTGACACAGTCTGGCTAAACTGTTGATTCCAGAGAAAAAAAATGTATTAAGTAAAAGTGCATAATGGGAAGTAGTTACACACGAGCAATGTGTTTTCTTGTGACCCTGTGGAGGGTTTGGTTATAATGTGTTGATGATTTTCTAGCAAAGCAAAATGATGGGGCAGAATCAAGCCTGTATTTAAAAAATGACTATTATTGACTATTTTCACCCAACAAACCTCTCAGCACTTCAGATGGCACCTGCAGCCTCCTGTTGAAAGGGCACAAAGACACTTGTTACCTAAGATTTGCACTAGTTTCAGGCACCGGAAACAGACAACTATGTAATGTACATAACGTGGTTTGTTTTTTACACAGAAAGTGGTAACTAAATGTGGCATAATCCCTACTACTGGGGAGGTTGAGGCTTGGTGGATTGTTTGAACAGCTCTGAGCTATCTCGAGCT